GTTTGATATTATAATTCCTTTCTTATGGAATAGCTTGTAATTACCACACAAAAACATTACCTACCTATAGGATATAGTTTAATATAACTTTTAGATAAACAATTTCAAACTATAAGCAAAATTGGGATACACAGTTAATAACATATGTTTTATGAAAAACTCATAAGTATAATATTAAAACACACTCTTTAAGTGCTGAAAACTGAAAATTAAAATGAATAAAGAGTGTCTTGTTCTTAGAATTTTAGATACATTATAAAAATGTGCCTGCATATAAAACTTGCTAATATGTTTTAAACATTGCAGCTAAAGTGTGGTTAGAACAAAGACCGCGGTTGTTAACAATGAGCGATGTGGCCGATGGGTTGGTTTTCATTTATGATTTTATTGCGCATTTTACCACCATTAAAGAAACTATTTAACTTTAAGCTAGAAATTGTTTTGTTTTAATACCTTTTACTGTTACAAAAGAGTTATGTTTTGCATTCGTACACTTTTTTTAATTTAAAAGTCAAAACCTTTATCGATCCGTCAACATTATTAGAAAACTCAACTCATTAAAATGGCTTATCTAAGATAAGCCATATTATTTTTAATACTTAAAAAGTTATTATTTAAATGTCTTATTACATATTTTATTTGTTTCAAAGTATAAAACTATAGTGAATTATATTATAATCTACAGTAATATTTTTGAAAACATATTTATTTTTACAATAGTTTTATCATTATTTAATTTATTTATTTTTAAATATAGGTACGATGTAAGTGCTCAAGTTTTTGTTAAAAATCTTGTAAATAACAGTTTTTTTTCATACAGAACTTTAAGTCAAAAACAATATTTTATTTTCACTGTTTTATTTTTTACTTACTTAATAATTGTTTTGAGTTATACCATTATACTTTGAGTCAACTAGAGATTAGGCTCAAAAAATGTCTTCAAACAAATAAATCGAAATATAATATACATAACAAAGAATATTTGAAATTAGTGACCAGAATATAATTCACAAAAAAATATACATTTAGTGAAATATGGTGAGTTACGAAATTTTCAAAACGTCCTTCATTCAAATTTTCTTTTAGCCACAAATTAAGTTAATACAATTCGTTTTACTTAAATACAGTTTAAACACTCGGGTTAGGTGACTTTTGGGACAGACGCTATGTAATTAAAGTTTAGCAATCAATACAAAGCAAATACCCACCATCAATGTACAGGAAACATACTAATAACTTTTTATTAGTTGTTTATAGAAAAATTAAGTCAACCGTTTAAAACCGCAATCTTTATGGCATAGAACATTAGAGAAGTTATCTTAACTTACTTGATTCGTTACCGCTAAAATCATCATCACTCTCGTTGTCATATTTTTCTTCATAAGTTAACAATATGGAGAAACTCCAGGGGGCTGTTTTTTTGTCGGCGTTAATGGTAGTCTACTAAATAGGTATATTTGCATTTGTTAATTACAAACAAGCAAATTTACATTATTCTAGTTTCTTTAAGAAACTTTCTTACGTATAAAATGGAGGTTTCTTCAGTTTTTCTATTGGTGGTACCCAAGGAATAATATTATTAGATGGCAATAAAGGTAAAGGAATTTGGTCTACTGAAACGTACAGTGCACTCAATAATAAGAGGGCAAGAAATTTTGGACACAAAATGCGATTAATACGATGACTTACCCATAAGGCCAATTTGTTTCATATTTGCGAGTAATAAATGTAATAGATAGTTACCGGCCGTTGTTTTTAATTTTTTCATTCCTTCCTTTTTTTTTTTATATTTCTACAGCAATGTGTACATTTTCTGAGAGTAAATTTAGAGTTAAACATTATTTTTATTGAAATTGATGGTTAAATTGGCTTTGCGCCTTGACGGTAAAATACACTTTAAGTATAGCACCTAACAGCGAGAAATAAAGCGCATTGTATAGAGAATTTCTCAATAAGACTTAAAAATAAGCTAACATTTTTAAGCTCATATACTATTACTAACATATACTTAACAAATAAGCATCTATTTTGATATTTAACTATTTTTTAAAACTTATTTTTGTACTAAAACATATGGTTCTCCGTTCTTTTTGAATCAGTATGTTCCTCAGAATACTCCGATTTTAGTTTTAAATATAATTAAAATTTTTCATAAAACTTACAAGGTATCAGTCGTGACACAATTTCGAAATTATTTTGTTAATTAATTATTTCTATTTAAAAAATTGAAATTTTTATTTTTTAAATTATTTTTAAAATAAGATTAATAACGAAAATTAAAAAATGTACTTATCCATCAATCAAGTATTGAATGATCTACATTTGTTTTGAAAATATTGTCCGACGCGTTTAATCAGAGTTGTGTAAATTTAGAATGGGATGTTTTCGATCAATAATTATCAGCAGGTGTAGAGAATTGTAGAGAAATTACGTATTATTAAACTGTCCCATATAAATCAGAATAGATTAAAGCTTAAGGTATAGGTACTCCGTACTTCTAATGATTCCAAAATCGTGGCAGGAATTTGCAATTTTTACATACATTTTATTTGTACACGGCCTAAAACTACTAATGTATAAATGTATAACATTAGACTATATTATTATGCAAACTAAGAAAATAAACTTCAATGCTTTGATCCCTAATATTTTGTCTATACTCTGTACTATATAAATATCTATATAATATGTAATTATACCGTTGTAGGTAAATGTCTGATTATTACTAATTATTCTAATTATTGGTCAGTGGTGCTTAAGGATCACTACCGGTTTCTAACACACACGATTTAATATTGGCAATTAAAAGATTTTAAAGTACTTAATGGTTCATTAAATTACCACATTTAGTGGTATGTATTGAGCGGCGACCCAATTTCTAAACGCTGTCTTAAGAAATATCCCATCCGTTTTGATACAGCAGACGGATACTCGTGTTGATATAAAAGACGCGGATTAACCTTGGTTTTAACAAACCCCCATCCTTTCTATTATATTAGTGTTCAGATATTCAGTTTTTAAAATCCGAGTGCAACAAGCCTCATCCAAAATAGGGCGTATTGGAAAAAATAATGTAAGACATTATAGAAAAGAAGAGGACTGTCAAACCCAATAAACCGCCAAAGCTCCATTTAGTAGGTAGTAAACAGGCAAAACAATTATTATTGTTTTGTCAGTTAGTGTAGGAAGTGTTTTTCTCTCATGTCTAACATAACCTAACCTTCAGTAAGACACTTTTAAGCTTAATATTCATTGATTTTAAAGTCATATTTTTAAGACATTAACTTCCCAGCTTTACCTATAATTAAACCCTATAGTGACTAACTTTTAACACTATAATTTAACGAGTAAAAACAATATGTATATTTTGAATTTTTTTTTATTTACAATATTATAAATTTGAGCTTGTTTTTCATTTACATTATCACTTTAAGGTAAAACTGTTAGTTATTTACTCGCTTTACATGTGTATTTGCTACAGTCGAGTCTTTCATATGTTGTGTTCGCGGCCCTATGACGTCAATGGCTCGAATTTCTATTATTACTGTTAATATATTAAGTTCCCTATATTTTTCATGTCATGTTGTTAATGCTTAATATTTTAGTGAACGCTGAACATATTAATAAAATCGGTATATTATATCGTCACAATTTATATACGATTATCTTGTTAAAACGTATACCTAGTACAATTATTTTATCATATCAATAGCCAACGACCAATTATTGATATTTGTAAATTATTATTATAAAGTCCTCAACATGAGTAAGCATATTTTTTTTTCACATTCGCAACGGTTACAAAATGTAATAAATAATAAATATTGTAATAATCATTTGACTAGCGATTATAGATCAGGTCGATGAACCTACAACAGACTTTGGCTATCAAGAGAGCTATCCGTCGACAGTATAATGTTTGACTACACTGTCATGGAGTTGCTCTCTTTATGGATAAGTCTAATTTCAACATTATCAACAATGCAGTGACCTATTCGTCCGGTGAAGATTTAGTTCAATGGCAATGTAACCGACCGAAAAAAAGTATTTTTCAATTTACAAAGGTATGCTATTTACAATTAATAGCTGTAAATACTCATCATTTAATCAATTTAAGTTAGTTTAGTCAATAAGTCTAGTGTTGTTGTACTATATATTTAATGTTTAAACTATAAGTGGAAAACGGCCATAAGTTAAATGTTTTTTTCTTTTAAAATTCCTCTTTTTTTTTTTGTAAAAATTATTTTATATTTTTTCTTATTAATAATTTATTATAGCTATTTTTGTGACATTGAAAAATACTATGCTAATATCGGAGTAAGAAAATATATTGTCAAAATAAAAATAAAAATATGTTCATACATAAATGGTATTTTATTTTTCAACACAATGAACGAGAATCATATTTATTGATGGCCGTACGACATTGGTACAAACTTATACAGTAATATATTTAAAATTTTGAATTCTACACATCAGTTTAGTCAAAATAATAAATATAATATGTATATAAATATTTGTAATAATATTATTAACCCTTCAGTGCCCTTCATATGCATCATGTTCACTATATATTTATTTTGTTAGAAAAAATACATTTTATTTAGGTGGCGTCCTAAACTGAAGAAGTTACCAATTACTAAATGTTACAAATGTAATTTTTTTTTATATATACTTTTTTAATTATTTTTCTGAAATTCCTGATAATGTAATCTTTATAAAAAAATTGTACATTATAAACATTTTAAAAGTTTGGGCATTGAAGGGTAAAATGGATAAAAAAATGTTATAAGAAATATCTATCATAAATGTATATGTAGGTAAGTGTACAGGTATAGTTATTATAAAAACTGTTTATGTCTAATTGATTGAGGCAATATATTTTAATTATGGTAAAAATATTCATATAATATACGTATAAATAATGTAAAACGTTAATAATAATTATACAAATGTAAGGCATAATAAAAATAGGCGTATTTTATTTTACATACAATTTATGGCAAAATATAACAGAAAGAAATTTTTTTTTTTTTTTTATAAAATATTCAATAAGTACTATCGTTATATTGTTAGAAGTAATTAATAAAAATAAAATAATGACTTATTTATTTAGTAGTTCTCGCCTACTCTAATACTGTTGTATAATTAATAATATATATATATTAGGGTGATTCTTATTTGCGGACAATGGGCTAATAAGAAGAACCACCCTATATAGATAATGTTATATCAAAGCGTTACATTTAAGTAGATATACAATTGATGTTATTAGTATATGTTATCAAGTCAACATATCAAATTTAGCGCCGCAGTTTGAAGTCACGCGGTTAAAAATAAAGCAATCGTCATTTAAATTAAAAATGTACACGACCACTGCGCTTTTATTTAGAAAATATACAAACGCACCTGCCAGATAGTATAATATTTTATTTATAAGTATAATATTGTGTTAATGGTAAGAAATAAATGTACAAGCGTATAGTATTATATTTAATATATTTGAGTAATGACAGTTCCTAATGAAGTAGTATAAATGTTGATTGCCAAGACTACACATAAAAGAAAAAGACTGTATTATTTCTTTAAGAAAATAAAATAAGAAATAATTGTTTCAAAAGAAGTTCATAAGTTAAAATTAAACAAATTGTACGTTAATTACAGAGCATTTTACAAGAATTTAACAGATTAACGTCACTTTTAGCATGTATTATCTAACAAGGTCTCGTGACTAACGCCCATACATTTTATTTACACAATGGTATCACAAGACGTAGGTTCCACGTTTTAAAATCGATTACTATTTTGAAAGTGATATTAATGTAAAATCAAAAAATAGCAATTGTTCTGTTACATATCATATAAGCCCCAACTATTTAATTCCAGACATTTTAATAGCATAATATTTATTGTGCGTAGTTGTTCCTTAAGAGGAGATATATTAAATTTAATTGGTATTCAATTTTTAGTTTAATCGTATCCAAATAAATCTGTTTCTTATCACTACTAAGCAGAAATAAATACGATAACAATGTCGATTTTGTTGTTTAAAGGTAACATATTAATTAATACTAACTTAGAATAATATTATAATTGATGTTCTTAAATTTATACATTTATTTATATAACTAAACAATTGGATATCAATTTTACAACGCGCAAAACTATATAAACTACATCTGATTAATACTCTAATATATCCAGAAAAGTTTTTAATAAATACATTATCAAATATTAAAAATATGTAAATTCTAACTTATTATTCAGGTTCGTGTACGCTACGTCGAGAAAATACGTCATTTATTTCTTCTTCTTCCTCCTCTTCTTCGCTTTCACCAAAATTTGATTCGTTGGAATTTTCTAAAATGTATTAAGATTTATTATTGTTTGTTAAAAAAAAATTTAATTATTATAATGTTTACCGTTGGCATTTTGAGATTGAATCATTGCTTCGTCAGAAGGCCAAGAAAACTTACTCGTCTCGACTATGACATTTTGGTCCTTGGACAGTGTAAAGTTCTGTTCGCCTATATAATTACAAATAAAATATAATATTGTTGTTTAAAAAAAATATTATAACATAACATCAAACTGACTCTAAAATTAATTCTAGATGAATTTATAAAACAAATGCAAATTATTTTTAAAACTAATTAACTAAAAAAATAAAATATAACAAAATATGTTTTATGTGAATTAATTGTTTTCAATTCGAATTTGTAAATGGTTGAAATACAAATATAAAAAAAATATCATAAAATAAAAAATTATAAAAATATTCATCTTTTAGTTAGTTATTTTAAGAATGAATTACAATGAAAAAAAGTCAGCACAGTGAAGTCGGGGTATGAGGACATGATCCGTCCTCATAGGTTCGGGCAGGTCACATGTGCTTAGGAATAATTCCTATAATTATTATTATAACAGAAAATTATAAATTCACTTTCAAATAAATGTTTTAATATGAATCTATAAAATAATTCAATATTTAAAAAAGCACTGTAATGATAATAGTGCTGAAATTTGTATTTTTTATTAAGTGGATACGATTAGGGTTGATCATCAGTTTTTTGTCGTTATTTTCTATTTGACAGTTAATTCACTCTCACATAGCAATTTAGAAACTAACTACGTTCAAAGTGCAATTTCCTACTTAAAAAAAAATGTTGAGCAAATTATATATGTTATAGCCCCACTGTAGATCTACCTTAAGGCAAATTTTCAGACCATACAACCCTGAAAAAAAAACACTAAAAAAGAGAATTAAAGAACAATTTTCTATACTTTGTAGGGGAGAGGGTTTATGATAAATTTTTAGTTTGACAACATTTACCGATAACACTTTATTTAAAAAATTTTACATACAAATTTAAAACTATTTATTCTTCGCCTTACATTTCCAACTACATGGGGTCGGCTACCCTAGTCCTACACCTCGATAGAGCTCGATCGTCTACAAATCGTTTAATCACCCCAGCTATCCTCATATCACTCTCTATATTGTCTATCCATCTTTTCTTAGGTCTTCATCTTCTTTTTAATTAAAACTAATTTGTTTATTTTTAATAAAAAGTTGAAAAATCCAAAAAATGGGTGTTATTTTTACTTAATAGTACATTTATAAATACTCGTTCGATTATATTTGTGACAAAAATCATATATGTGTAAAATCTTGGAAATTTATATGATAATATTCTTGAAATATTTTAACGACAAAATCCAAAATGTATTTTTAATAATTTACTTGAAGTCATTTGTTTTTGTTATTCGTTCATTGAATAAGATAATTAAATGCCAACAATATTAAGAAAGGCATACACGTTCAGACCAATCACTTGTCTCAACTACTAGTCGATCTGACCCTGATAGAATGAGGTAAGTACCTGAAATTTCTGGAGAGGACGCGTCAAGCATTGGCTGCAGTATTCGCCTTCGTGCATTGATAAACCAATTGTTAACTTGTAACAGGGTTAAATTTGTTTGAGCAGCGATGATTTTCTTTTCATCTTCAGTAGGGTATGGATGCTAGAACACAATGTTAATGTAAGACACAACTCACAACTGATTAACATTTAATGAAATTTACAAAACCATAACAAAATCAAGGCTATGAGCATTCTTGAGTAGACACGTAACAAATATTTTTGTTCCGTTATTCTTACTAATTTCTAGTAGTATTACAAAATAAAAAAATATATTACAAAATGTTTAAAGCGATCTATACCATTTGAAATTATATAACAAAAATAGTTTTTGTTTATTACTAAGTACTTAGGTAAAAAATTAAAAAACACCAGTTGACTATAACCAAAATGCTAAAAATACAGTAAAATGTTGTCGATCTTTTCAGAAGAAAAACAATTAATTTAATTTCAAAAGAAACAGTCGGTATATTATACACCAATTTCATAACTTTATCAAAACTTTTAAAAATACAATATCTTATTGTTCTAAACTAAAATGTAACTTACAATCAAATGTTGAAACAACCAGGAACGCATTACACCAGTAGCATGTTTTGGAAGAATACCTCGTTTTTGTTGTCTTTTCCTTTTACTTCCAAAATAATCATCTTCTTCATCACACGATCCGCCACTAGTTGCGGATAAGGAACCTGAAGGGGCAAAAACGAATTAAATACATACATAAATTAAAGTTATATTACAGTTTACCTTGAAGAGAAGATGAATTATTAGACAACAAATTTGTACCAATTGTCGATAGGGTAATTTTTCCTAGAGCGGAATTATCAGGTAAGGAAGACTGAGTAACAGGCATTTCAAGTTGTGAAATGTCTGAGGTTTGAGATACATTTTTCATTTCTACAGATGTGGATGATGGTATACCCGATAGAAGACTAGAAATGTTTTTCAAGTCCATTATTGTCTTGGGTTTCATTGTGTCAAGGTCTCCAGATTGCCGCAAAGAAGCTTCTGAAGAGGATATCACCTGTCAAACATCATTTATATCCTAAATCTAATATAAGTAGCACTTACACAAATGTCAAAGCTAATCTAAATATAATCAAGGCTTTATTAATATAATATTATTTTTGTCACAGAAAAAAAAATAGAATAATATTTGGTGGAATGACTGAAACAACAGTGTAATGTGTTTACAATACTATACTTAAAGTTTTTTTTTTTTGGTTGTTACCAAAAAACTCGGAACTGATAATATTACATATTATAAGGATATTTTTTCTAGTATTTCACTACTAGTTAATAGTAAAATTAAAAATTAAACCTTAAAAATTCTAATTACCTGATTATGATGCGGAGAATGACACAATGGTGAGTTACTATTACTAGAATTTCCACTGCTATTGTTGTCTAAATAGCCAGTAGTGTAATCGGAACGTAATAGATTTTCACTTTGCATTTTTATTTTCAAACAAGTAATATATCTGCTGCAAAAATCTTTACACAATTCCTGAACTTTTTCCAACTCCAATAAATGAATTCTTAGAACTTGAATAGCTTTGATCATCTAAAACACAGAAACAAATGATGTTTAATAAGAATTGATGATAATTGGGGGCGAAATAACAATAAAAATTATGTTCGCAAATTATAATTTGTAACACTCACTAGTCCATCGATTTCAGTGTCATTTGTCAAAAATGGTTTTCTATCCCTTTCTTGGTGTTGAACAAATGCTTGTATGTCTATATTGAAGTTTTCAGAGTTTGATATTGTCGCTGATTGAGTTGCCTGTTCGCATCTTTCAAATAGTAAAGCTAGCAATGGAAACAGCGGATGTCTGCATAGAAAAAACACAAAATGTTTATTATAATTAATATAGTACAAAAAATAAAGTTTATATTACTTGTATACAGCTCTCTTGTCAGCTTCGAAAACAGCTTGATCCGGCTGCTGTATATTGTTATTAGCTATCGCAGTAAGATTGGTCGCAACGCTATCAGAATACGACACCATGATTAGGCAATTTACTCTTCACATTTGTTCCTTTTATTTACAATAAGAAAATAATACCGACAGCTGAAACAATAAAATATGAGTTTTTTAGGGTTATTTGGAACTTGTAAGTTTGTTCACATAGAATAGAGAATAGAATTTGGCAATAAATTTGGCTTTGACCTCATGGCCAGGATGCCATTAGCCATTCTTGCAATTAGGTACAGAGCGGATTAATATTTAAATTACGATAAGTCACTTTACTTTATCACCTCATATTTACATCATTGCGGAAATTAAAATATTTGTACCTAATAAATTAATAAGGATAAGTACTGTTATCAAACTAAACCTTAAATACTTAATTTATTTAATAACAATTTCCAAAAAACGAATTTAAGGAAAATAACTACAAGAAATTTTAACAACTAATACTATATAAATTTAAATTTGTTTCCTAAAAATATATACTTTAAGATTAAGTTAAGGGTGAAAAAATTGTAGTAATTAAATTCTTATTATGACTTCATTCAATTTTTTTAAAATAAGTAATCTGATCAAACTGTAAGGTCATAACAAAAAATTTATCAAAACTGGGTTACTTAATGAGGCTTTAATGTTATTGTTTTTTTAAAAACATTTTTAACTACCAAAATGGGTATAACGTTTAAATAAAATTATACAGGGTCCGGCAAAAAAACCTCCCCTATTTAGAAATGACGCTGTGAGAGTTGTGGTGGTGGTACAACGGTTGAAAGGGTATCGATTGATAGCGGTATACATGCCACTTCCTCCGACCTAACCTAAACCAGTTTGCTAGGAATCATGATGAGGCAGCAGTCTGGTTCCAACAAGACAGAGCCACAGCTCACACTTCGCGGCGTTCACTTTTAACTTTCGGGATAGCCTCTTTGTCATTTCTGATGTAATGGCAGCCACTGCCTGGGTGATTGCCTTCTTAAGTCCCCAAAGAAAAAAATCACTTGGTAATAAATCGGGTGACCTTAGCGTTCAGATGATGCCTCCTAGCAAAGAGAGAAGACGTCCAGGAAATAACTCTCTCAAGATTGCTAGGGAGCGCCGCGAAGTGTGATCTGTGGCTCCGTCTTGTTGGAACCAGACTTCTCCTTCATCATGGTTCCTAGTAAACTGGTTTAGGTTAGGTCGCAGGAAATGGCATGTATACAGCTATCGATCGATACCCCCTCTACCGTTGTACTACAACCACAACTCACACAGAGCCATTTCTAAATAGGGGAGGTGTTTTTGCCAGACCCTGTATATAAAGATTATATTATATTAATTTTTATGCACATTAGAGCACCAAATTCTGAATGAATTTTAAAAGACAGATTTTGTTATACCAGTAAAAAATCATTTTACGTTTTTCTCGTCGAGAATGAATCGGTACTTTAAACCGAGTCCTCCCTTGGAAACTTTACGTCGAGAAATGTTGATAATACGTATCCTATCGATCGAAGAGCCGTTAGACAGACGGTTTTGCCGGTGACCAAGCAAGACAGTGCATACGAAACGAGCCGGTCAGTAAGGAAGTAAACGACAGATGAAGCAATAAAGTAATACATATGAGGGTAAATAAATAATGAACACTTACGTGAGCTGCCTGGCAAAGGTTGGCTTCCATCAATAGCATCGACCGGTCATTAATTATGAACGGACTGCAGCCCGCGCGCGATAAATCCGCCGTCCGACTTACCGGTAGTGAGTAGTCCAATCCCGCGTCGGACACCCCAATGTACATGCGTCAAGTCCCCGCGGTGATTTCTCGCTTACTTCACGCACAACGCCGCTTGTGTACAGTAAATACGCACTGGTACTTATGCGTAATGCGTACTGCTTGCACGCGCACCGTGTGTACAGCTGCTGCAGCCGCCGAGCTACGGGATGGGATAAGTCGTAAAAGATAATAAAATAAAAATAATAGCAATAAAATATCGCGGATGTAAAGATAAGAGGTTTTATTATCAATCGTTTTTATTGTAGTGTCGTCCGCCGCCGCGGGATGGGGCTCGGGCGCCGGTTATGTGCCCGCCGACGCGTTCCTGGACGGGTTTTCGGGGTAAAAAAAAAAAAAGCAGTTCTTCTAGTTCGGTGTAAAATATTTATGTATATATTAATAAAAAAAAAAAAAATAACCAGTCCGATCCGCCCGCGGCGTTTCCGATGGAAATTCCCCGGAAAGCCACCACGTTTTTGGTTACCGGCAAAGGCGACAGATGGCGTCCGAGCGGATCGCCTTGAGTCACAGCCGCCGCACGCGGTTTTTATGGGGAAAATATTGAACTTTTCTTGTCACCGTCCGCAGCCCGGGGTGCCGTTCCCTCGTTTTTATTGTTATTTGTTTTACTATCTCTGTCTCGCTCCCTCTTTCGTTTAAACACCGAAAACTCTTATCGAGCACCGTCACCCTCGACCCCCACCCCCACCCGGCACCCCCCTCCCTAACTACAACGGCAGCCGCAAAATTCAAAACTGCAAAAGTTTTTATACGCGTTGTTTTGCGAACCGCGACGTTACAAATGTACTCAAACAAAAGTCGTATACGCCCTTTTGGAAAAGCTCTCCCAGCGACAACGACGACGGCGTCGTGTAATTTTATGCAAACTGTTTACAAAAAAAAAAAAAATACTAATAATAATAAAGACCGAGCCGTTATTGCGTCAAATTAACTTCTTCAATAGGAGTTAACTAAACTTTTCTTCGCCCTCCATCTCGAAAAAATTACCTACTGCACACGAGCCGTGTACATTAAGCCAACGGTATTAACAAAGCGTATAACAGACGTCGTTTATGGTACGCGTGTACGATTCAGCGTGCAGCTTAAGTTATTAAATTTTCCAAGCCACCCGCAAATTACAGGGGCGGCTTTTATTGCTCGCCATAGGTTGTGGGGTGCACACTGGTTACCGAAAACCAGTCGAATCGTCCAAAGATTGCACAAGTCTAAAAACAAAAATCTCTATCTCACCACTAAATTACAGCTGTAACCTATGCAAAAAGAAACTCTAAAAAAACACCATGTGCCGCCAGCCTCATTTAACTAGGTCAGATACAATAAAAATGCATTGAATCTTTTCACTTTTTTATCTTCGATGGGCCTGGCCGAGATAAAAAGATTTACCTAAATAAAAAGATAAAAATGCAAGTCTATAGATCAGAAATCGTAGGTACCTAAAAATAAAGTATTGGGCAAACATTTTGAAAGTTCGCCACTTCTCCTTCAAAATCAATAAAAACACCTAAAAATAGTGTATATAAAAACTTACATACTTAAAACTACGATGTGCTATAACTTTTTTTTAAACATAGTCAAATTTACAGTTCGAAATTAATATGAAACATATTTTTTTCGATAAAGTATTAATGATAAACAAAAAAATATCATAAACCTATTCCCTTAGAACAGGTGGAAACTTTTTCTTTCCTTATCTCGCTGTTTTATGTGTAGTTTTATGGACTGTGGATTGAAAGTTATACTGAAGGTAGATCAGCTATAGTGGGCATATAACAAATACAATTTGCGCAACAATCTGTAGTGAAAAATGTTTTTAATATTAAAAAATAAAAGAAACGCTGCCAAAACATTGGCAAATAACTCTCTCAAAAACGAATTGTACTTTTACTAAATATTAAATTACGATAAAACCAAAATAATATAGATTACCAGGGTAACACTAACCAGAAAATCTCTCTTCATAAATATTTTAAATACTAATAAAATATTGTTATGAAATAGAACAAATCATTAAACCTATTTTTGTAAAATTAAAAAGCTATGATACTATATACCAGATGTGTTGTAATTTAACTTAAACGTTTAACCCTTGCATATTTACTGACATAATGACCATCCCATTTTTTAATAAAAACGAATGAGTGTGCGATAGTTATTGGTGGTTATGATTCTAAGCTTAAGTAGTTAACTATGTGATTAGGTGGATTGGGACTGTAATCAATTCTTTATTGAATATATTTTTCAAAAAACGTTTCGCGTTAATCTTTAAAAAAAATTTGTTTAATTGATTTGTAAAATAATTCTATAAATTGTACCTACAATTTCTAAGAAAAAAAATTCATTTTTTCCATTAACGTAACGTATGTTTTATTTTTTTCTTATTTCAAGATACATTGTGTGTGAAACATATTCCATGTATACAAGGATTTTGAATTTTTAATAGTATGTTATTGTGCTGTTTACCACACCACGGATATCTTCGGATGTACATTTAGTGTACCGTGTACATCTAATTTTATCAACAACTTTTTGACCCAAAAAAATATGTTTTGTTTTTGACTAAAAGTTTGGTTTAAAACAAATAATGCAAATTTTGTTGTTTGTTTTTGAACTCAATACAAATTTTAGTGGCGGATTTCATCATATTTTTATTACACAGAATATGCTATTACTTATTCATTCACCAGTCTATAAGAAAAGTATGCATCACTAAGACATTCGTGTCATTTTTTAATTTAACAACAATTAAAGGTAATGTATATTCGTACTTTTTTTTTTGCAAATGTATTATTATAAATTCTAAAGATATTATCATGTAACAATAAACAATAGTATTCATACTATTTAGTTTTATACTTATTTATTATTATAATATAATATATTGTATTATTTATTTGAATGATTTGTATGTTAAAAGTGCGTTCATTCTTTTTTATGTACTTCAGCCATTGACTGAATACCCCGTGAGTGTTGTTAATACATTTAGTTTTAACTTCTAACCCATAAATATTAATATACTTAATACTGGTAAAATATTTAAACGTATTTTGTCCAATTTAAAAAATCGTGGAAAAAACTTTTTTTTACACCAAATATTTTGTCAACATGTTGTACATATGTTATGTTAATTATGGAAAATTCTAGTCTAGTTGAAACTTAAAAAAAAAACAAAGCTAATAAATTTAAACAACTACGAGTAAGTGTAAAATAAATTGATTTTTCATTTGTTTTCAATAGTTTTTAATTTGGCCAAAACACGTTTAAATATTTTACCAGCATTATTTTAATATTTATGAGCTATATGTTAAAACTAAATTTATTAATAACACTCACATGGTCTTCCGTTTATGGCCGAAATACATTAAAAACATTATCGTAATTTTATTATACAAAACATTAAAATAAATATAATTACATATACACTATGTATTATAATACATAATCATAAAACTAAACAATATAAATATCATTATTTTTGGTTATAATAATATCTATATAATGTATAATAATAAATATGTAAAATACTAAAGTACCTATACATTACCAGTAATTGTTGTTAAAATAAGAAATAACACGACGGTCATTTTGATGCATATTTTTAAACTATCTTTAAAAAAAATATTTTATCGAATCAAGTAACTTGACTCGTTAAAATAATTTTTCTTGAATATGGTTTACAAAATATGCATCACAATGACCATCCTGTGATTTTTTATTTCATCAATAGACGGAAGACCCTGTGAGTATTATTCTTACATTTAGATTTAACCTACCTATACAAGATAGTTGAAAGTTTTCTATATTTTTATAAAAAGCAGTCGGTATACAAATTTACCTATATGAGGCTGGAAATCAGTTTAATTTTAACCTATAATTCATACTTTTATAAATAACACTGGTAAAATATTTAAAGTATTTTGGCCAAATTAAAAAAACTGGGTAGACAACTTTTTTGTAATGCAATTATATTACCAACATGTTCTTCAAATGTTACTTTACTATATTTGAAAAATATGAATGTTATTGTTTGCGTTGTACACGCGTATCCATCTCAGTTCTAAGGTCATTTTAACTATTTAAGTTAAATATTTATGGAAATTCTTGTGAAGTAAAAAAAAAAATATACTCATCAATTTAAACAGCTACGAGTAGGTGTAAAATTAAGTTGATTATGTAATTATTGTTAATTTAATAGTTTGATAGCTATAATAATAATATTTGTCTTTGAACTGCGGCGTGAAAGATATGATGAGCGTTTTCATCATCCACTCGCCGATAAATTTGTATTAATTCATTATGCTAAAATTAATAATGCGTTAAATGTGATATATGAAATTAGTTTTATGAGGTATCTTTTTTTAAATTATTTATTTAGTTATATTAGCGATTACTGATTTATGTAGCAACTGGCATATTATTACTATATTATGTTTTCAGGCATTTTAAGACACTTCTAAGTAGTACCTAGGTGGTATAAATTATTACTAAGGTTTGGACTTGGCAGTTTGGCTAATAGGCGAATAATCGACGCCAGCAACACAACATACACAATATTATCTATTTCTTATCACTTGTTGTCGCTGGCAGTCATGTTATCACACGACATACGTTTTTTTTTTTTTAAAGTAAGTAAACACTAAACTGTAAACTGTAAAAAACTAAAAACTAAATGTAAAGGAATTTGTGATTTGTAACTACTAATTTGCATTTTGTAGCTGATGTGACTTTGTAAGTTCATTAGTTTGAATTAGAGGACCTATTAATTAGGTTCAACTCAGACTTCAGTAAGTTTCATTCGCTATGGTTCGGTTAGTCAACGTTCTCTTTACCTAGAGTAGTGTTCCCATGTTGTTTGAACAATGGACAACGATCCCGGAATAGTGTGTTATAAACACTGTGGAGACAGAAATGTGTTCTGCATAAAATTACCTTCTTTCTGCCATGTCTGTAAACAACATGTATCCGATTCTCTGTTCATTCCAATCAGGTAAAGTAAATAATTGTAGAATATTGGTCAATACCTTACATGAATGGAAAAACAGTTTTACTATGATTGATTGTTTATTTTTCAGAGTGTGCTATCCTTTTGCGAGAGCATCGCAGCATCCGTGCTCTGTTGTTTTTAAACCGACCAATGGCGATTTTTTAAAGTTTGTACGAGTATAACACTAAATAATCATCCGATATCTAGTCTAAACGAAAAAATTATGTTGTGAATAATTGTGTATTTCCCCCATTCAGAAACTATCGATTGATGGATGATTTACATATTGGAATAACGACTTCAAAGGGAGTAGTCGTGTCATACGACTGCAACGGAGTAGTCAATGATGATGTCAACACGGACGCCTGGCAGCAATGTTTAGTAGTCTACCGAGTAGAGGAAGCGTCTTGGGAAACACAATGGGATAACGTCCTGATGGAAATTGCCAGAGCCGATTTTTGGACCAAAGCAAGGTTGGTGATGGTGAGGGTAATACTATGGCATGAATTTAACCTACGGCAAAGGCAAGATTAAGTTGAGGTATTTTGTGTATAAATGATACGTTAGAATTCACACTATTTTACTAGTTAGGCTTTTTTTAAAAAGCATTTTTTGTTGTAAAACAAATCTGATTATAAAATTAATAATCAATAAGTAATTGATGTCTTTTTTTTTATTAAATAACTTTTACTGCATTCAAAACATAATGTGTATTTATACAAATATTCGTTAAATCAAATATTAATTATTTGAAAAAATTAAAAAATCTATATGCTTAATCTTTGTGGTAATGTGATTTTAGTAGAAACGTGTAGTTAAATATTTATTATTTTTATAATTCTAAAGGCAAATAATAATTCATCATTCATAATTTTATGACAGAGACCGCTGAGGGTTCAGTTTTGTATAAATAAACATTTTTTTTGTTATTCAAACCATTTTATTTAAAATGCCTTTAAGGGGAAACCATAAAAAAAAAAATTGTTCAATTCTATGTTGGTTAATATTTCCCTAACAGAATAATTAAATTTAGTAGAGAAGTTATTAAAAAAATGTTCCTAAAAAACTCCGAAAACTCAAAGAAAAACGGCATTGGTGCCAACTGCTAACCCTCTCAATATACAAATCTTATACCAATTACTAGATTGTTACCATATTACCAGCCGTTAGTGCTTATTACAATTTTTGCCCAAGTAGTAATTGTAAATAATATTGTCCTTTTTTCTTCCTATTTCTTAAATAGGTACAATGAAGATACGCACAACTGTTTGTCATTCGTTGTGGAGTTCGTCAAACGGTTGGGAATGTTGAAAACATGTGATCGAGTGATCAATACGAGGGAAGAATTTACCGATACGTTTATTGCACCGGCCACAGTGAACGCTCAAAAATATATACACCTCTACAGAAAAATTGTCGAAAACGGTTTCTATGTGTACAATTCAGTATCAAACGAAATAGTGTGCAGTTGAATCTTGATTACTACTGCTACTACTACTACTACTACTACTAATAATAATAATAAAAATAATGTAAAAATAAATAATATATATGAAATTTGTTGTAAAAAAGCTAATAATATACAGCAATCAATATGTATAAGCAACATCAATATGTGTAATCTATATAAGCATACAAAGTTTTCAACATTTTTATAGTAGAAACTAGAGGTCTCTATTTCACGTGTGGTTGAGAACACAGGTACCCGTGTTAAAGTGTGTGTAATTAAAATGCACATGTTCCAGTGTATTAAGATTTTGAATCCGTGTATTTACTTATAACACTAATTTATAAACTCCCGGACCTTAAGCATAGTGTACTCATAGAACATAAAATATAATTTAAAACAAGGATATATTTTAAACACTGATACTTAACCTAAAATGGTTCCGGTTTGGATTCATTAATTCTGTGTGCCCGTGTATGTTAGACCACGTTACAAATCGTGAAATCTAGTAGAAACTAACAAGTAACAATAGTTAAAAAAAATGCTTATTTCCGGATGGTAAGTTACCATTTGTATTGAATACAACATTTCTGTATGAAAGGATAAAAAAAGAAAATTGAAAAAAAAATTTTTGTTTTTTGTTTTATACAACATGTATAATGTAAATTAATAATAATAATAATAATAATATTACAAACTTAATCGTTATCGTAGGTATTGTAATATATATAAATGGAACATATTTTACGTAAAAACACATAGGTACGAATGTACGATACAGTTTAATCTAACTAATTTTTATGTATATATATATTATATATGTATATAATATAATATACTCGTATAGGTAGACATAGAACTTAGAATTATATGTATTGTACAAATTTCGTAAAGTGTGTGAGAATAATGAAAATGTGTTAAAAAAAAAAAAAGTTATCATTCAACAATGAGACATGGTGGTGGTGCTTGCGAATTCGGTCGTGGTGCTCAGGCTTTGGTCTTGGGGGCGGCTGTCGTCGTGGTGGCCGCGTCGGCGGCGGCTGCGGCCGCGTCGGCGTTGTCGACGATGGCGATTTCCGGGTACTCGAGTTTGACGCCGGGTTCGCAGTCGAACACTGGACAGCATTCCGGGAACGCGGCCGTCTTGTTGGTCTTCTCGGACAGCTTGCACTTGGGGTTGGCTTTCGGGTACGGTCCGCAGTCCTCGACCAATTCCAACAGCTGGTTGGTGCCCTCGCCTTGCACGCAAGTGGACCGTCCGCAGAACGGCGAAAGTTCCCACGTGTGGCCGGGCTCGACGGTCGCGCACTTGGTGGACGCGAAGCACAGTCCGGGGAAGTCTGCCGGGAAAACAAATAAACAAGTTACAAACCGTTTTTGCATAGGGTGTTTTTTTTTTATAACGATCATAATAAAAAATAATAACAAAGCTGTAACTAACGATGAACGATTAGGAGCTTAACGGGTTTTATTTTTTATCTTTTGCGCCACTAAGACTACTTAGGTATTATTTTTAATTGAATGAAGTATTAGATGATTAAGGTTGACACGCGCAGGAATTTCACAGCGTGTCGAGACCTTGTATTTTATCGGCATATGGCACGGCCAATGCATTTGTCATTGCTTTTTAATTATCATCCTTACGACTATCATTGGGTACTTAACGAAGACGAGAGATTATTATTTGCCGGACGGGTGACCTCTTGTGAACGGGTATTGATTAAAGGTCGGACGGCGAAAGCGTTGTCGGTTGTTGCTTCCATAATAATATTGTCGCGGGAAAACGTTTTGAGTTGTTTCCTCTTTGGACTTCCGTACCCAATTTATCTATGCCTAAGTGCTATAAGTATCTATATAGGTAGTCGATAAATGCTTAGCATAGTACTCTGCCAACTATTTCACCGGTAAAGTTAGCCGAACAGGAATTGTTCCAGAATGCATATAGTTAAATGTGTATACATAAGCTATACCCCAGAAGTAATCGGGCCTGGAAAATAACGCCATTAGTTTTGTTCGTTTTAGATATTAAACGTCCCTGTTCCTTTTATCTTAATAGACGATAATTGGAGGAGTTTTCGCTTCCATAAGACCTACATTTTGGGGGAGGGTGCTAAAATGATGTATACTTGACTAAACATATTTCTTATCTTCAAACCGTTTGATATAAAATAATATTACATTTGAAAGCAAAAATATTCTAAAATAAAAAATTTGAACAGAGTGCATTATTAAAATGTTATGCATACAAATCAAGGATTGGGGTTTGCATTTTTGGGGGTGCTAACCTAACCGTTCAAACGTTACCTCTTAAAACGTCGGCCGGGATAAGTCTGCGGAAGATCTTGATGCCGTTTTCAGCTTCTGGTGCAGGCGATGTGGTCTTTTCGTCGGCCGAAAGTGCGACGGCGGCGATGCCCATGAGTACGGCCAAAACGCAGAATTTGTTGTTCATGTTTGTGAGTTTATACGACCGGGTCGACCTGTAAAAAAAAAAAATTAAGATCTTAGTATATGGTCAAGTCTTGACGAATTGGACAGGTCAGTCGGGGAGAAGTAATTTATTCCTTTTACAGTACCTATTCATTCATACGGGCCGGTACAAAATTAAACGGCATCTTTATCAAGTAACTCTAGTACAAAATTCTAACATTTTTTATTTATTCTAAACGATGTTGAATATTTTTTTTTAATTAAAAATATTGTTTTGATACACAAGCCTGCATAAATTGTTCACGCATGAACTTGCGCTATCGTGCAACCGCAACAATCCTAATTTGTAACTATTAGGTTGTAAACGCTGTGCAATAAACTGAAATTATATTTTTATTTTGTAATAAATCACAGTTACACCTGTCCGTGGCTTTTACGTTCTATTACCGGTTTGAGGTGCAATATACGGTTCACTTGTAAAGTAGAGAGCGACTAAAAGGGAAACGATTAACTTAATTACTACAACCGATACTACTATAAATATTGATCCTTTTTTTTATCACGTAGGTGTACTTTCAAGGAAATGTTGTATGTTTTGCAAATCTAGAATACCGTTAACGGCCACCGACATCAGACTTCTTGTACCTAAGAGAAAGTGCACGATGACAAACGGAAAAACGGCGGTGGCGACGCGGAATTAATTGATTTATATTAATTTACGGTCAAAGCGCGATTTTTCCCGGTATTACTATTAAAAAAAAGAACCCTGTAAGTAATTAAAATATAAAACTCAAGTGACAATTATTCCACCGTGATACTAGTACATGTAGTTTTAGCCGGCGCGGCGAGGCGAACCGATTTTTCAAGTAGAAAACAAAATGCCTTCCGCTACGGTAAATCGCGCACTTAATTAGAAATCGTCGTATTTTCTTTTTTTTTTTTTCAAAAATATAACAAAAAGAAAAATTATATTTTACACGTCATTTGGTTATCTCAGCATAGGTGTCGGTCGTTTCGGGCAACAACAAACGGACAATGTAATATATGATTTACCTACACAAGCCGCGCCCGTATCTCTCTGTATAAAAGCAACGGGCATGGCCGGTTTCCATTGACACTGTGACCAATATAATGTATAATTAGTCAGCGGTAGTGCATGTATAATTAGCGTGTGAAACCTGAAATCGAGAAATATTTTTTTTCATTTTCATGTAAATCTTCTCGTGTTGTATGAGTCGTATATGTAGGTATAAGCAAACTGTGGAACGACACTTTCCAGTCATTAATATGTACACAGCGCCTTCGTCGACTATATAGGTGCACACGACCATTATACGTTGTATTACATCCCGGTTTCCCGTTGTGGGCATCTAGGTAATAGCACAGGAACAACAGCTGTACGGTGAAAGGTTACGATAAGATACCTACAAACGAACAACGATGATGATGGTGATAATGTAATAATGTTCCAGAGGAGAGCGAGTTGTGACTCATACTTATGCTGTAAGCAACAGGTATTGTTGTAAATAAACGAGAATAATAATTGTCCTTCCGTTTCTCTTTCTGTGTCCTCTCTCACTCTCGTCTTACCAGACACGGTGGGTTTTTTTATTCCCCGACACAGTGTTGTGTGTTAGTCACCCCGGAGCTGAGCTTTATATTGATATAATCGTCAGATTATTATTCAATTGGCAAACACAGCTGATACTGCAATACACTATAGGTAGGCATGTACTGCCCACAGTATACTAGCACATTGTATATGCTGTTTGTATTATATTACTTTCACTTCCAGATAGATAGATACACGTATTTGTATAAATATATGCGATCCAATCACGTCCACACTTTCAAGGACCAATCGGGTAAATACACAAGTAATATATGTATTTGTATAGTAGTTGTGTGTGTTTTTTAGTGGTGGGTATTACCGATATTATTATGCAATTCCCTACAAGGTTTCGGTTTCACATTTAAATTAGTGAAATTATCGTCGTCTGCGCGCGCGGTTCGCTGGTCATCTCGTTTGTCGAAACCAGTTTTTTTTTAATGAATTTATTTATTTATTTATTACCGGCTGTCTTGACGCCGTCTGCTGTTAGTCTGGAAAGCCGTGTTACACAATAAGAGGTGATAGAGAAAAAAAAAGGCCTGGTTTGGCGACTCCGAAAGGTCTACCGATTGTACCCGTGGGAGGATTTGCTTTCTCTCGATCGTTGGCACTATACATCTTCTACTCCACAACCCCTTAACAATGACCACCGTTTACTGACAAATATAGGATTAATCGTTCACGTCTGTACGTTTATGGCGATTTTAAATTGGGAAACCCCACAGTCGAGATTATGATCAGATACACGGCCTCGATCGATGAGGCGTTTGAATGTTGATGGACGTCGTCGCCTCCTCGTCCTTGCGGTATATACCAGAACGGCGTACCTGGTAGAAACCACGGTCCATCGGTTTTTCCAAATTAACTGTAGCAAAAGACGACCTCTGCCTCGCGCGCCGTGTTCCTCAAGGTGTCCTAGTAGTTAACTGCGGCCATCAACAATTAATAATGTCATCCGGCGGTTCGTCAGTGTTCCAAATTAAGCACTTGCGTCTTAACGGTATACCTTGAGTTCAGTAACGTATATACCTTATACAGTACCGAGACGCTACAGCACACTATACCTTACGATAATAACGACAATTATATTAGGCCTGATTGTCATATTTGTGGCCGGTTGACAGGCGGTGGAACGGTTACAAGGTCAATGCCACGGGTCGGGGGGCCAAGAAAGACCCAACCCACGAGAGAAAACGGTCGTGCCGGTTACGGTGTTGGCCGGTCGTTGCGCAAACGCACCTACCGCCGAAAATGGTGTGTCGAAACCGGATTTTCGCGCGAATAATTTTGTGTGCACCGCCGATCGAATTTTCGCAAAAAAATGTAATAATATAATATTAAAGTATGGATATTATAACTACAACAGTACTGCAACAATAACGCTGCACGTGGGTATAATCTTCTGGGTCGGCGGGCCGCGACGCGATCAAGCCAACGGCGTATAGCGCGGACGCCACCGCACCAGTTTCCGGTAGGTTGATGGGCGGCGGTTACGACATGTACCAGGTTAGTGGTCCATGCTGGACCCGGGATAGGGTACATAAGTTGAAACGCGGTTATGTAACCCTTGTCGGTGGCGGTTGGACAAAAGAAAAAATGTGGGGTTCGGGTTTTCGACTGCAACAGTAATCCGACTTGAACTTGTGGAAAGTCCGAACAGCCAAACAAATACTTTTCAATTTCGAACCAAGTGGTATAAGATTTTAAGATGCGCATTAATAACAACGTGATATTTTGTGACTAGGTAATTTTCTTCAACGCTGAACAATAGGTACACTAAAATCAGGGTACGAGTCTTAAGGAAATTGTATAACAATCAATTAACCCATGACAGGTTAACAGAGCAGTCGGTAATGTATACTACGCTAACACTATCTTGCTAACTATCTATAACCGCAAAAACAGAAGAAGTAGTGGGTACTGGGTAGGTATACATTCACGGGGTAACCTTGATTTGGAAATAATATTTTACTATAATTATTATTGTTATTGTAATAACAATTATTATTATTTGCTACTGAACGAAATGTTGTTGGGTAATAAAACGTTATAATGTTTTCGGGGAAAATATTGTATTCTCATTTGAGTATTGCTCAACACCCGGCGCCCTTTGTTACATATCTTGTTTGGTTTGTTTTTCTCCGGGTGCAACGAGTATTATATAGTAATTAGGTACGTTTAAAAACTCATTAGCTACCAAAAATATAACAATTTAATTTATAGATGATATTATTATTGCGACAGCTATAATAATAAATCAAATGTGTGTAATATAGTAAACGAGCCCTGGTATAATAATCAAGGATTTTTAAAAAATAACAAACACCTAAAGGAACCAGTAATTTATGATTCAAGTAGAAAACTGAAGTAGCGTCCACTTAACTTTACTTGTCAGTTCTTTTTTTATAATAAAAAAAAATCGATTTTGTGGATGGCATACCAAACTATATGATATTTAGGACTTGAGTTTACCGTTGAATACGATGCCGGTTTACCATTTAACGCGTTAACATTATACTTATTTCCAAAACAAAACCATAATAAATATATTTATTTCATTCACCTTATGCCTAAATACATAATATTATTGTACAAACAGCTTATCCACAAAATAATGATCATTTAAAATAGTAGACAACCATAATTACACACGACCAGTTTCACTAAGAGCGTTGTCAAGCCACAATAAATAATACATATTGTATTATAGAACTATAATATGGTGCAAATTCGATGACTATATTAAAGATAACTTGCTTTTTTTACATTTGATTAATACACACAGTTAGCGTGTAAATGTTTTTAAACAATGTTGGCGATCAGCTGCTAAACGACATTAATATTATGCTATCGGCAAACATCCATTTGTGTGTATTTTTGGTTTTAGTTTAAAAATCTTTACATAGCTTAAAAACATTTAAACTTTTAACATAATATAATAATAGTATGAGTAGTTGTAGTATGCAGTTAATTATTAAGCTTGTACACTTATAATACTAAGTCGACCGATTTCACTACAAGCTTTGTTAAGCTTACCATCAGTTTTCTAAAGGTTGTATGTTAACCTTTAAAAAGCTCTTTTGTGTGTCTAGGCCTGACAATTTTAATGTAACTGGTCCATGTGTGTGTATACCTATAACTAATAAGCTGAGCATTCATATTTTGTTTAAAAAGTAAAACAAAATATTTTTAAATTTCAATCTAGATTGAATCAAAGTTGAGTATGATTAGAAATTGGTTGGTACATGCGAAATTTAAGTAAAATTGCACATAGTTGTGAACAATTGGCACGAGACGTGTAAGTTCGATTTTGTTTTTTACAGGAATTACGAAAAAAAATTAATATAATTTTAACACTTCTTAAGGTAAAGTTGTACAAATTACAATTGGTTAAAATTTGTCGATTCGTTCAACAATTACCTCATTCTAAATACAATTGTTTGATCGTCTGATACAGGTGATATTATTATAGTCCAGTAATGTATATTTTAGTGTAGGTACTTACAGTAAAAAATAAAATAGGTAGTTTTCGAACGGCTTGCTGCGTTTTTGGTGTTGTCGAAGAGCGTTTATGTGAGCGCTTCTTTGCTTCCACTCGTGTATTTTGTGTTTTTTTTTATCAAAACTGTTACAGATGGACGGTTTTAGTTTCTTGTAAGTTTAGTAGGATGTCGTCGTGGTCGTCGTTTTCTTTCGAAAATGGAACGTCTGAAGACCGAGTCCGATTGTTTTATATACTTGCACTTGCCGACTGTTAAATACCCGACGAGGTCTGTTGCGGTGGTGGTAGAGCGCAGAGGAGGCCATGGCGTTTCCTCTGTGTTGTATTAGATTTAAAGAATTATATGCGGGGGAGGTGGGGAAACTTTTGGTTTCACTCCAGTCACTTGTCCACCACTACCGCCGACAACAGTGATCGAAATAAAAAAAAATATCTACATTTTATATATATTATAATAGGTTGAAAAATAATTACCTATACCGTTTTTTTTGGAAATCGTAACGAAAAACAAGAGAGTAATAATTTAATTTCGGTAGGAACCACTGACAAATTATTACTATTATAAAACCATATATTCGTGAAAAAACCCGGTTGTAGATTGTTCAAATTACCAAAATAAATTATTTTTAGTATTATTAAACTGTTTTATAGTCAATTGAAAATTTACCAAATCAGAACAGTCTCTTTTGCCAGATAAGACAAGACTATGTGTCAGTTTGCCAAATTAGATTTAAAACTACCCTTTGTGCAATCAAATATCATAGAAACTCAATTATATAAAATATAGGCGTTTACGAAAGCTGATAATAACCCCGAGTAACCTCAATAAAATTAAAAACGAGATATCGGTTTTTTTTTTATAAGTATAATTTACACTATCTACTCAACATTACTAATGACAAGTAAAAGCCAGAACCATAGCGGTGAAGGGATTTTCAAGAGGTAGTGGCCTCACATAATTCTTTGATGGGGTGTGATATACTCTTTATTCTTTGGTAGGTAACATTATATTCTTTTGTGATAATTATATAATGATTACAATTTTGAATCTGAGTGATTTTTTTAAAATTTTCTAACGGTTTAGTCGATTATGATTAAAAAAAACAGTTAATATATTTCACGATTTTATGAATTATTTAAAAAATAAATATTTTCGACTTCAAACTCTAATTATTGTATTTACCAGCGCGACAAGTCCATTCGGCAGACTTGTTTAACGCTCTAGCCTCTGCGGTATATTATTGGTGTACCTATATATATTGTACACATTGACCAGTGTACCAGTATATATATGCACCTATTTTTTTCATTAGCTGCTATTAGGTATTATCGTTATCGTTATTATAGTGTAGACACGTACCTAATAGGCATAGACATTATGGCATAACGATTCTTCGCGTATGATTTTTCATGCGAAAAGTACGGCAAATACCCGATTAACGTTAATAATTTTGACCATCCAAGGTCGAACGGTAGCTGCGCGTTTTTGGCACCTAAGAAATACATTAATATTATAATAAATAAAATAAAACAAAATATTAATCGCTTAAAATATGCTTTGCTACAACAGAAGAAAAAATATTTTCTAAACGTTTTTATTAGGTGCTTGTAGAGTGGAGTGAAAACTTATGTTAATTTTTTTTTATGTTCATAACGGAATAATTATTAAATATCTGTTAGCTGGTACTTAAATGTTAATATCACGTAAAAAACATATATTTCTTAAAGCGTATATTCATTAATATATAAATTAATAAAACAAAATGGCGTCTATATTGATACTTAATATTCATTTTTAACTTTGACACGCATTCAGGTCCTATCTTTGTAGCAAAACATATTTTAGGGGAATGCACTTTTCCATAAAGCTTAACAGTTTATGGCACACTCACCAACGAACAAACTTAAATATCAATAGTTTATCTTCAAATAATTATATTGCACTTTTCGACAACTTTTTTTTTCAACGGAGATACAATCTTCTGAACAATCCAAAATCCTATCTAATTTAGATCTATAATTTGGTCACTAGTAACATTATAAAAAAATCCTTTGCAAATATATAGATAAAACTTAATCTAAAAATTAAATTTATAGGTAAATATGCGTTACGACTGCTCAGTATCCAAAAAAGTGCATCTCCCAAGATATTATGTTTTCTACACCGATAAAAAGTAGTATGATCAAATAACAGTTTTTCAAATTTTAGAAGTTGTATAACTGTTATGTAATATAAAAAAATCACATTAGGGGCACCTCATAGGTTGGTTATTAATTAAATTGACAAACATTTATATTCTACTTCTATGTTCTTTTATGTTCACTTTTACTCTGCCAACAAATTACTTTTTTCAGGCCATGCCGACTTGGATTCGTACCGGAGATATTTCAAAGGCGTCAAAGACTTCTGTAACTTTTGTATCGTCCTTTATTGTGTATTACATATCACTAACTTACCTTCAAAGTTATTATTCAACTGTTAACTTTCCAAGTTGCGGATAAAGTTGAAATAAATAATGATATACAATAATTAAGTGGAATGTATATAGTATTTGGCACACGATTGAAGTGTCCCTGGTAATATTTTGTTTCAGCTCAAACTTATTACAACACTCATTGTTTGTGCTTGTATCTCTTCTAATTCTTGTATTTCACCTACTCTCATCGTTAGCTTTGACCTGTAACGTTACAGACCTCAGAAGCCTTGACCTTTGGACGCTTCAAAGTCTAGTACTTTTTCGGGTTCTCCGCTGGTCGATTGAGTATTCAATTGTCGCCTGGTTTTTTATTTGGCTTTTATTTAAGATCACTCATATTATGTACCATAAAATAAAAGTCTAGAGACCACCGAATATGAGATACTAACTATCGATGAGTGACGATCGACACGACCTCCAATTCCCACCATTTCCACATCCGACCCTGATCGACATTTCCGCTAGACGACACGATACGCTACGACTCGGAATACCTTGGGTGTAAATGTTTATTATGTGCTTTGTTTTGTAAAAAATGCGAAATCGTCAATAATTACCTCGGACAATTTTTTCCGCGACCTTTTAGAAAGTAAAAAATGGATTGATGTACATTGCCGTTTGACCATACTTAGAACCAGTTCGATATATGTTATATTATTTCAATTTATGCTCGAAACAATAGCTAGTAGGTATTATATATATATACGTATACTGTATACATATATAGTTATGAAACGTAATATGCAATATAACCGTTATAAAAGACTTGTTTTAATCGGATGATTGTACATTGTTCTATGGAAAAATTATCTGATTTTTATTTATATTATTTATCGATGAACCGAAAAAGGTCACTACTGCGTACGTTTTAAACTATCTGTAGACTGTATAACTACCGCTTTGACCTTTATTAAAACGACTATTAATAATCATATTTTGACGTTATCTTCAACTCTGTATGTGCCCATACACAGAAATAATATAATATTTTAATACAATTCTATTAAATGTTATAATAGTTTATAATAATATTGCTAAAATATGATTACAACATGTTTAATTAGGAAATCAAATCGTAATAATCTAAATTTTTCAATAATATTTGTTCTAAATATTATAGAATTAGTTCAGTTATAGATATTATTAATTATTCCCAAAACGTCAAGCAAATATTAAAGCATGTATAGTACTTAATATTTTTCATCACAGACAATCTTTAAAATATTTTTACTTATTAATTGCAAGCTAGAGGGTTGTAGTACGATGTTCATGCGATCTGCATAATGCACCTAATTATTATTATTTATTTTAGTTTTGAGGTTTTACTTTTTTTTTTTATAGATTACTCTATTGAATGAGACTGAACGGATTTAACATACAGGTGCGGGTCAAATTTCTTATCAATATTTTTATTATTTCACGCGATTGCTTTTAACTATTTCATACACAATATATTAACATACCTTTATAATTAAAAAGATTTATTTGTAATTTCATACCAACAAGTTAAGAATCTTAAATGCATTTATTTTTTTATTTTTTGAGAGTTTTGCAATTCTTATTGATTAGTTTATACTTTTAGTACTACATGTCTGATGTTGTACCATTTTTGTAATTATATTTGTGTCGCTTGAAAATATTCTTTAGAAATTGTCGCATTGTAAGTTGGTATTATTTTTTTTTAAATGTGCTGAATACTTTTTATGGGGCTTAAATATATATTTTTTTGTATGTTTGATATGAAATTGATAGATTAAATGGAAATGTCTTAAGAAACTTTTTTTTAAAAATTATTATCATTAATTTTTAATTTTGAGTCTAAATAATGAGTTTTTTGTTTTATGCTCTTGTCGGTTTCCCGATTACTCATGCAGATATTATTCGATCATTGACACGCGTCTCGATCACGGTAATAAGTTAAAATTTAACTAAATCGACCCTCCAATAAAACACATGACTGTACTGTACATCCTAGGTACTCGCGATAACTAATATTATTGTTTTGTACAATAACTAACAAGGTTCAATATGAGAATTAGGTACGTACATAAATAACAGACAAAGACATCCAAACACAACACTGTCAACAAAACCAACAATCAACACACATCAAATAATTATGGAATAGTTGATATCCATTACCGTAATAGAATTTGATGACTCTTAACGGTCTTTAGACAAAATCAACTATCAATCTAATAGAGATTACATTTACTTCAAACAATGTAAAAAATAAACATTAATTTTGCTTGCAATGTATTGGTCAATAATTTATCATTCTTATTCAACAATTTAATTAAGGAAAAATAAATAGCATTATAATATGTGATTAGGGAAACGCTGTCACGCATAGACATTTATTTAAATAAAATCATATAAATAATAAAAACATATATATACATTTTTAAGAGACATTTATTTCATACTTTAATCGTATTTATATAATCTTATTTAATACCAAATAAAACCATTTTACATAATTGGTATCAATTTTCGAAGTTTTCAATGAAAATGTTTTTTTCACATTTAAACAAATAGACCAATTGAAAATTGTTTTACTTTACAGGGTTTTATATATATATATATATTATCTATTAATGGATTCGTCAACTGTCAAATAGGAAGCGATTAGTCTTTCTTCGTCTATAATTAATTATATTTACTTAAGAGTTTTACTAGTAAATGTATTATTATTGTGCCAGACACGAGTCGGCCACTAATTATTTAGCAGATATTTTATAAACCTTCCTGATTGTTATTTGTTGCT